CCCATTGTGCCTGCTACACTACTTTCAACTCGGTTGGGATTCAGTATGTTTCAATCCTGTTCCTTTCCGTTACATTTATTTGGTTTTTGTCGGTAGAAAAGTAAATTGCACTGATGTAATAATTTATTATTACGAATAAATTGAGCCGGCAGAATTTTGTGTGTTGTAGACATTTTTTTGATATAGTCTATAAGAAAACTACAACTTGGACAGACAAATTCACTTTATAGACGCCGATCGAATAAGTAGCCAATAATGTGAATTGAGTTGATCCAATGATTTAATAGTTTTCCATTGAGCTCTAATAACGGCATTACATTTTTGATTATGATGATGAGAGAACAAATAAGTAACAAACATTATTATATGATTGAGGGGTGAGTTAATACATGGTACATTGCAGCAATATGTTAGACGGTGCGCTGTCTGTAGCATCGAGAGTTGAACTAGCAAATAAATCTTTACATAATCTTAAGCGACTCATCGCCGAATGTGGAAACAATTCATCACATTGACATGCCACACAAACAAATATCACCAGGAAACATTCTCTGATCGCTTTATTACAGCGCTCCTCCTCACTAAATCATTTGACGCCCAACGAAAATCCAAATCAGTGGCAATAATCCTATATTATGTAAAATCGAACCGTTTGACTTTTCACGGTTTCACATGCAATAATTCTCGTGTGTACGTCGACAACGTAACGTTGCACGAATATGCTTGGGTTTCGGTATTAGAAAAAAAAAAAATAAAACTTTTCCAATTTCAATGCGTTTTTCTCCACTTTTGGCACGGAGATTGTAGAGTTGCTAAGAATAAATGTGAATGAATTCAAACCACTTGAAGGATTACTTTGTTTTCTAAAAGTGGAAAATAAATTCTGGTCGAAAGTAAAACGCGAAATATTTGTTAACTAAAAAAATTGAGTTTCACTTCAGTCGGGGCGAAAATTCATGATGACTTTCAAGTCGATCGAAATGATGATTCAATTCAATGATGGTTTTGGTTAAAAAAAAACAAAAATATTGTGATACGCTAATTTATAAGTTGTTTAAGTTTAGTTATTTTTATTCCCAACCACTCAGCATTATACATTTGATTAGACAGATTTCTTTTCAATTTCCATAAATGCGCGAAGATGAAACGATTGTCGAAGTTATGCTGATCTTGAAAGATTGGAAACAATTGTAAGTGCTGTGTGTGCAACTGGATGCATATATCGTCACATAATCCATCAATCTGTTGAATATCGCATCTAAATTTATTCTTGACGCGTCTGTAAGCGCGCACTACTTTACACGTAACTTTTTTTTCTTTCTTCAAATTGTTGCAGGTTCTTCAATCTACTTTCAAATAACAACTGAAGCATGGAAACGAGAACGAATGAACGATGGAATGTTAGCGTTGTTGTGAAAACTGACAAAGAAGTGATAATCCACGTGGATCCAGCACAATAAACTCAACACATAAACAGTTCAATTGAATTTCACGTGTGATTCGAATTTAATGACAACATTATCCTTTCAATTTACTTATTCAATTCTTTGAACGAAAGAAGTGAACAAAAAAAACACACGCACACACGTACACATCAATTGAACACTTGATGCTGGCAATCGATCGAATGGCCATTGAATTATCTCAAACCCGTAATGTATATTCATGTATTACAATATTATAATTTTCTGACATTTATTTAATTTTATATTTTATTATTTTTTATTCGATAAAAAGATCGCCGATAAAATGTGAATAAATTTAATGAAGCAATTGATATAGCTAATTAAGTTTTCATTACATTGAATTGGTTTATCAAATGAAAGATTTATCGAGTGTGTGTGTGTGGGGGGGGGGGGGGGGGTGGGTGTGTGTCCACTCAGTTGAAGCGAATACACACAACAGTGACTTAGAGCAATGAGAAGGTTATGAATGCCACGGCCGAGTTCAGTGGACCGATCGATTCAAGCTATAAATATTGGTTCGATTATTTTAATACGGTTGGCCATTTTTCCGACAAAATCGCATCGATGCAAACTACACACATATGTTTATGGATATTTGACTAATGTGTAAAACATACGTAATGTAAATTAAATTCGCTTTCGCATAAAATATCAATTATGCTTGTGTTCGATGAAGCATGTGTTCGACGCTAATGGGCTTTAATTATTTACAATATATAAAACTTTTTTCATTTCATATCCTTGTTACTTCGATTGTGTGCTACATATGATTTGGTGAGTGGGTTGCTGGTTGTTATTTTTGTTATATTTTACTGTCGATTATTCAATGGTCAGTTGCCGACACGAAAAAAAGAACAATATCAACAAAGTGCGCTGTAAATGGAAAATATTCAGCAATGAATGTTCTAACGGCATCTGTACGGTATAATTTGGAAGTATGTATAAGTAAATGCTTTCGTCATAAGGTTTATCCAAATGTTGGAAATGTCATTTGTCAGAAATGAAATTTCAAACGTCATACATGATTCAAGTCAGTGATCTTCTGATAAGGACAAAAGCAATGCAAACTGAACTCTGAAACATTTTGGATTTGCTGAATATATTATCATTGCACTTCACTGTGTTGAACAATATTTTTCACTTGAAATTCCAAGTGTGCATTTTAATTTAATATATAAAACAAATATAACTTTTTATTGATCGAAATATAGTGGCATTTAATAAATCGTATCAAGAAATTGACATTTAGTATTGTTCGAAAGAAAAAAGAAATAAAACATTTCAACACGTTAGTATTTTTACGAGAAACGTTTTAGAAGAATCTATTTACAACAATCAACGGCGCTTCAATTAAAAAAAAATTAATGTTCAATTATATCAAATCGATAACATTTATTTTGAAACATGTGATTTTGAGCTTGTATTATGTCAAATCAATGAATTGTTCTCGCTTGATAATTCAGCATCGATTTTTGTATTCATGTATATCACCGTGGCAAATGAAAGATTCATACCGCAAGACACAAGGTGACACATTCTAAAATAAAATTTGTGAAGGGAGTTAGCAAGAGGCACATTATAACGTTTCTGACTTCGATTTCGATGAGGGAGAGAGATGGATATATACAAATATTTACAACATGTTTTCATCATCTCTTTCGTAGGAAGTCCAAAACTTCATAACGTACGTCTTGTTACCTCCCTGTAAAAATTTGGATAGTAAATCCGTCAGCAATTTCTTCTATCGTTGCATCATGATATGATTGGTTTGGAGCGAAAATGTTATACAGAAAAGTTGAGCGGAAAAATGTCAAATGAAAAGAGATTACTATACAGTATACTATATAGCTATCTCTTTTCCGCTCAACTTTTCTGTATTATGTACATTTTCGCTCCAAACCACTCATATAATAGTTTCTCATATCATTTTCCGTGTGTATATTCCGGTTTTATTTCGAAAATTCAAATGTTTTCTGTTTTAAAAACCTTCACGCATGGATGAATGTAATTGGGAAATGTTTAATCTCCAAATCAAATGAGAGAAATCCAAGAGGTTTCCGCATTAAAAGTATTCAAATCGATTTCCCTCATAGCTCAAGTAGTTTTAGAATAATCATACAATGAATTTTGATTAAGAGCAAAGCCCGATTTTCTCAGCCATTCAAACATGTGTTTTAAGATTGCTGAGCATCTCAGCATTTCGTAAGGCACGGATATATCCGAGCATATCGACGACGCATACAGTGGCGTGCGTTGCTACACGACCGGAATTTGTATGTTGTTGCTGCGAACACAATTCGGTCGAGTCGTTGCGGCTGCACGTAGCAACACACGCCACTGTATTATACAGTATGCGTCGTCGATATGCTCGGATATATCCGTGCCTTACGAAATGCTGAGATGCTCAGCAATCTTAAAACACATGTTTGCAGCCATTTAATTTCCTTGCTTCGATTGGATTCTACCTAAACATATGTCGGAGCAATGATTTATAGAAGCGAATATGAACTGGTTCGATCAAGTGCTGACTTTAGCGAACTGATTCCAAACATAAAACTTGAATAACGTGTTGAATTTTTACCACCAAGGAGAATCGGGTCGATTTACTCTTTTGATTGGATCAAATTTATTCTCCTCTTGACTACCTATACTTTAGAACGTATTTCCGTCGCATGCTTCAAATGTCAAAGTTGAACTGTATAAAGATTTTCATTTGCGTACTAACATTTCAAAGGGCATTTTTTCTGCGTACGATGGGCCCAAGTCCCGCTTTTGTAAACAGTTTGCTAAATTCAGTCTCTCATTCTAGAAAGTTCATGTGACACGATTTGAAATTACAATTCACACGTATGCAAATTTATAAATTTACAACCCCAATATTTCATATTCTTAATGATGATGGTATTATGCTATCATTTATGCTATCATTGCATTGCGCTTATACGATAATAACCTGGAAATATCATTCGGTCAGAAGTAGTTCATTTTACTTCGTCTGCTCGATTCTTATGAACGTACTGCACTCGTATGTGGAATGAGCAAAACTGTCGTTGAATGAAGAATTCTATGCAGTTTCTCGCAAAATCTGCATATGATAATTTTTGGAATTCGATGCAAATGAGGGTACGTGTCGGAAGAATCGAAGTGAAAAATTAGAACCAATATCCTGTTTACCTTAGATAAATGTTTGTTTGTTTCGCTCGCAGCAAATGTTGAGCATAGAAAAATTATCATTCGATTTAATTAGGCGAACACAAATTATCGACTAGCATGTGTCATGTTATTGGATGGGAGTGTAAACCTTAAGTGGCACATTTGCATCACAATCAAATTGATGATTTGTTATTCAGTTGTATGTTTGTATTTCAAGATGCAAACATATATGATCAATAAACAATCGGCTTACATACATACGATGAAAACGAATTGTGGGAATCAAACAATCAGTCTGTTGCTGCTTGCAGTATCCAGAATTGAACGTGAATACGACGACAAAGAAGTCAACGATAAAAATGTGATCATTAAATTGCTTACCTGTACTCTTGATTCCGTCAGCCCTATTCGCATGGCGATTTCTTCTCGCATGAAAATATCTGGGTAGTGTGTTTTTGAAAAGCATCGTTCCAATTCATTTAACTGAGCCGGCGTGAATCGAGTTCGGTGTCGTTTTTGTTTGCTGGATTTTTCCGCATTCTAGATTTGTTTATTTTTTGTGTATCAATCGACAACGGGTTTCGTTTTGAATCAGCAGCGACAACATCAGCAACGTGTTATATTTGGATGAGGAAAAACAAAGCTGAATTATTAAAAATTCATATAAAACGAATTACATAGTATATGCATTAGTCATTAGTTGGACAGCTAAAAGAAAGCAGCTGAGCTCTTGAATTACAGCACATAAAAATACAGATATAACGAATAACTTCACAGGTTCTTGGGATTTTAATTGCCCTTCGCTAGCCCTTTGAAGCCGCTCACCATCTTTTGTATGCGAAGACTTTAATTTTATTCAAATTTTTTGAATTCCTCCAAAGTGCACAATCATTTTCACGCTCTCTTTAATTGAACTTTGCATAGGAATGATAGTCTTGTTGTAGACTGATATATGACATATTTTATCCAAACAATCAATTGGCTAAATGACATCAAAGCCAATTGCTTCCTTGAATCATTCAAGTTCGAATGAAGATGCATTTTACCGTCGAATATATATAGTATTTATTGGGGCGTTCAATCATTTTACCTGATCCTGGTGTAAATTGTGAGGCTCACAAATGCCACCAGATACATTCAGTCGACCACCGCCCGGATCTGATGAGCCTGCATTCGGAAGTTGATTGTACGAATACGATTTCGGTAAATCACAATCCTTTTGACCTAAAACAAAATAAACAGACATTTTAAAACTTTATCAATAAATTATCAGGTATTGGCTTATTACTATTTATAAAATATAAAGACGTTATGCGATGAAAATAAATGAAAAAAAAAGAAAAGATGTCGAGACTATCTAAATACACAATTCAATGGATCGAAATGTTTTGTTTCGTGATCACTCGTTTCTCAAACAAAGGAAAACTGGCCCATAAGCAAAGTAAGTGAGAGATTTGTTGTGTCTACAATAATATTTCGTATATTATTTTTACATGTATTATAAAAATCTAGTCGCTTAAAAGATATCATTGACCAGTAGAGATATAGTTTAAAAGTTGCATCATTCATGGATTTTCATTCTATCTCGCGTTCTTTATTCATGAAGTGGCCCATCTTTGTTTAGAAATGGTAAATTGCGAGTGGTTTCTTCCTCTTGAGGGTTCATTCTCTCTACCTGCACGAAATAATTTGAGTAAAACATTTTTTTTTTTTTTTTTGAAGAATTAGCACGTACGTGTGATTTTTCATCTGATACTTTTTTTTCTCTGTCGTCTCATTTTTGTATTTAAACAATTTGAAATGTTGCTTTATTTTTGTTACGCAAAACCTGTTTCATTTCTGAGCCTATCGATTTGACCCCAGTGTCTGTGTCTGTGTCTGTGGCATGCAGCACTTATTCGAAATCATCCAATAAACCATGTTCATCAACTTTTGTATTTGTGCCTTCTGCAAGTATTTACACTTTGCCGCTGCCTTTTTTCCTCTTTCTTATGACAGGGAGCACAGAAATGAATAGGATACAAAAAATGATTGTTCTTCAAATGCCTCTGCATCATGATGAAACAGAAAAAAAGTAAAATGAAAACTTCACGACGCATCGCTTGCAAACAAATTCATCAGAACACAGATGCAGAGAGGTGAAAAAAACGAGTAGTGTTATATTCACTGTGACTAGGTGCCATAAGACATAAACAAATATTTGGCAAGAGAAAAATGTTAAAATTTGCCCGGGCCACAGAATCTTTCAAAATTTAAAGGTGATTTCTGGTTTGCGTGTTGAAATACATCGAAGTAGATATGTTTTTTGTTCATTTTCTAGTGTGATTCTTTTTGACTCATCATCAAATAAAGTTAGCGATCGTGCTCAATGTATCCAATACTGCCTACTGTATTTTTATTCGTATACGCTACCGTATGTATGTATGAACTACCGAATAAAAAATAAAGAATGAAGTTAAACAAAAGACGAGCCTGATAGCGATAATTAGCTTTTAATTTTTCAATGAACGCCATCATTAAATTGTTTAGGCGTTATTTTTTTAGCACAATTTATGATTGATTTATTAAACGAAAAGCGTGATATTTGAATAAATACGAGGCGATAAACAGCGTGCCGCACTCGTAAATGTATGTTAGAGAAAAATGTGATGACAGTGCAATCGACCAATTGTATTTATTTGTGTTTCTTTCTTTTATGGTGGCAAACACAATTCAATCATTCACTAATCAGTTATTCACGACCAACGGCGTACGCATCGCACTCTCTGTCATTTGAACTTTATTGAGCGTTTATTGTGTCTTTGTTTTAATAGGTATGAATATCACCATGATTTGTCGATAGTCATATCAAGAAGTCATTGGCAAAAGAAGCGATCGCTGAGGAATTGATACGGAATTTCGGGAATATTGTGCTATTTCATGATCATTAGTCACACTGGATGACATTTTGAACTGCTAACATTCTGATGCTGGTTTATTGTGTTCGATCCTGTTCGAAATTATTGAAATGAAATTAGTTGTTGTATGGCATCTTACACCCATTTCAATGATGTGCTCTTCTCGCTTCGATCCAGTCATGAATCCATGAAACTTCACAAACGGTAGCTGACATCATACGAAGGTGTTAAATTTAACACTTTTAACAACAAAAATAACAACAACAAAAACATAGCCAGTGTGAAACATTTTACCGAGAAATGATGAAAACCTTCTTGCCATCGATTCCAGATCGATATGAAGCAGTTTCGCGTTTTCTTTTCGAATTGCCTTTTTGTTTGGATGAAAGAATGAAATGGAAGTGTAATGTTGCTTCTTCTGTCGCCACATTTTATGAATGAACACCAGACATTCATAGCGCTGACATTTTCAATATTTACCATGTTCATTTCGACAATTTTACTGCCGGTCGACTAAGGCCTCATTCAAAAATGTAGTATATTTATAATTTAAAAAAAGCCAATGATCGACCGTTTACCGCCATATTATTTGGAAGCTGTCGGATGTGGTGGGCGCCAAATTAAGCGGCCATAACATCTGATTTATTTCAATAAATCGCAGGATTTTCCAGCAAATCTTGGTATACGAGAGAAAATAAAAGATCAACTCTATTACTTTTTTGAGGTCCATTATGTGCCTATGGTTTTGATACCCAATATATAAATATCTCTCTGTCACTATTTTTTATGGAGTCGATTTTGACGTTGTTGTATCTTTTTGTTCATGTATTCATGTCTGTAAATGTATTCACAAATAGATAAAAATGTTGTAAATTGTGTCCATATCCATCGCCAATATAATGTATAGATTCCAGGGCTGGAATTCTAAGTCATTCCACCAAAATCGTTCGGAATTATTTTTTTCGTAAATAAGACCATATTGGAGTTAAAGAGAGAGATTCCACTATTTTTCAGCGTGCCACCGGAATTATTTCTCACACAATCCACTCTTCCTTGAGTTATCGGGATAATTCCGGTGGCACGCTGAATAATAGTGGAATCTCTCTCTTTCACTCCAATATGGTCTTATGTACGAAAAAAATAATTCCGAACGATTTTGGTGGAATGACTTAGAATTCCAGCCCAGCATCCCATTCCAGAAATTCAATTGAATTGCATCGGAGTCATATGAGTATAGTACTACAGATTATGTACAAATGAATCACACATATCACTGCGAAGGGCATGGTTACTTGATTCATTCAAATGAAAATAAAAGAAGTGCTCGTTTGTTTTAATTTTAACGTATAAAATTAAAATATTTGAAGCTTTAAGTCCAATTTACTCTGGCAATGCTTTTTACTGACGACAATTTATTTCGATACCAACCGAAAAAAAAAAGATATTCCAGTCGTGTGTTGTTCAACCACATACTCACAAATACACCAATTATTCAGTATGTGGATGTCGACTCGACGAAATGCCTCCAATCCAACAACTCTGATCCGCGTGCAATGGATAAGTATGCCGCTGTTGTCGTCGCCACAGCGATACCACATACATATGCACAGCAAAGGATCAACGGGACTTTAAACAAAGTTTATACATAAAATATAATGTTCATAGATTTCGTAATTTAAATATGAATTATATGGCACGCAAATTTGAATGGAGATAATATTTAGAGTGTCCGTCGCATTTGAGCGTATTGTCGCAATTGTACGTTTTCTACACTGGATAGACGTCACACATATAACCTAAAAAACTTTTTTCTGCCTGGCGAACCCGCATTCCGGTACGATCAATGAATTATTTCTCAGATGCTTTTAGAAGTGAGAGATGTCTTCGATGGCAATTTGTGGCAAGTTCTGAAAATCCGGACAACAAAAACACATTTGTTCCGATGAATTCATTGTCTGTAGAAGATTTTGCGAAAGGCTTGCGATGTTAAATTTAATACAAAACACTAAGCATGACCGATTCACAACACACACACACACACACACACACACATTGATAAATCATTTGCATTTATTATAAAAGGAACAATTTAAGCGTTCCAGTCCGTCAGAATTCACATTTATTTAATTTGGAATGTGAATCGAATTTTCATTCACATGAAAAATGAACTCCGGCAATTTCGCTAAAGTCTCTTCGTTCCAAATGGCGGCGCATAATTGCCAGATTATAAATACATTTAAATGTGGTGTCGAGGGCTGTGAATAACAAACAGCAAACGAAATAAATATTCATTCGATGCCCTGCTCCAGTGTTTGGCGTCCATTTTTGTGCGCAAGCCAAACTAATTTTAAACGAAAGAGAATTTCCGAGCAAAATTAATTATTTAATGAATAAAATAAAACCCGAAAATGAATATTTTGCTATTGTGGCTGTTACAATAATCAATGAGTACAACGAGTTCAACCGTAAATATGCAATGAACAAACAGAAGAAAATTGAAACGAATATCCATGGATTTGGAACTTTTTGATCGTCTAAAATGACATTTTTTTTTTTAAAAATATGGCTTATGTACGTCTTGTTTTCTTTTAAAGTTTAATATGCTTTATAAATAGATTTGGCGTGTGGCGGCTGTTGAACGTCAAAGTCATTTGAGGCGACGCGAGCGCCCTCAATTTCAAAGAGCACATCAATGTAATTTAACATTTCAAATCGGAACTACACAGCGCGCTAATTCGAAATATAGAAAAATATAGTGTCAACAGCCGCACCATGAGATTTGGAAACAACAAATTTCAATGGGAATCGGCTAAGAAAATGAGATTTGTTTGAAACTTCGTATGACTATTTGAAATTCCACACAAAAGATTTGAATGAAAACTTGTGGTTTTTCGTCAAAATTAGACGCTATATTCAATGTTTTTCCGAATGTGCAATGATAATAAATAGAAAAACACTTTAAAATGTAGCTTTCGTTTTGATCAGATCAACTGTTCAAGTATTTTTTATAAGCTTAAATGTTGGTTTTGATTGTCTTCCATCTCTCAATTTATCCCTTTACAAAATTGAAAAACTATCCACTACTCTTTCACGAATTTGAGAAAAATCGCCTTGTCCGTGGTCAAAATACCCTGAATTTCAAACCTTGAACACTTATGCAATTAATACATTAAGCTTACACAATATCTGCTCCAAAGCGTTATCTACTAATAATTATCTGCGGCCACCCCAAGTTAGTTCCAATGAATGAATAGCGCTACACAATTTGACGGTAATAGTTGACACTGCATTGATGGATGTATTCAATACAGTATCAAGAAAAATCCTACAAACTACGTTTGCGAATGGACTAGCAGGTAGCAGCTAATGTCGTGTGTGCGTCTACGTCCATGCTCGAGGTTTGAATGATTATAGTTTTGCAAATGATGAATGTTAGCGTTGCACTACACAGACGACGTCGGCTATTTGAAGAAAACATTATGTGAATTTGTGACAAACATTTTTATGAAAAGCATTGAAATATTTGTTATAAATTTACTACACGAAATGTTTTTCTGTATTATCACAAAATCAAAATGTGCTAAATAGCCGTAGTTAATTGGACAATAACGCTTAGAAACAGATATTTTGCTAGCTCAATTTATTCACTGTGCATTTTATTAATTTTGCACTAGTTCTTCGCTGGATATGATGGCTTGCGCTCAGCTCATTATGATGTGCAAACGATTGCAGCGAGCGTACAACAGTATCCGACGGTAACAACCAGGCAGATTATTTTTTGGCAATGTCTGTTTGATTCCTTGAAAAACCGTACGTTTTGTTCATTATTTTGGGAAAATCATCCAAGATAAAGTGATTTTAGAGATAGATATGTGTCCATAAATAATTTTAAAATGATAGATTTATGAAAGAGAAACAAACAGATTTAAAACAGAAATGCAACTCACCGCCAAGCGATGCTGTTCCGCCCAAATTGTTCAGCATATTCGCTGAAAAATTGCGAATCGACAATGCAGACAGTTTGAAAAGGTTTTTTATGACTTTCACGAATGAAGTGAACGACAATTGATGATAATAAATATTTTTTTTTATCGAATCATAAAAACGAATCTCTTTTTTACGACGCTCTGTTCTTGAAATGTTAAAGCCGTGTGTGGAATCCGGCTGTGTTATTTTTTTTGTTTGTTATTTTATCGATGTTCGTCTCTATTTTGATATAAATTTGTCGAATTTTTTTGTTCACATTATTTTAGGTAAAATGGATATCCAAAAAAATGTCAACCGTCGAAAATTCCTCGATACAACACTTAACTTTTCACTGATATCAAAATCAATCAAATTATTTAAAATAAGCCACAATGAATTTTGTATTTCACTGTTCAGCTGGAACCAAATCACTAGCAAAAAACATATAAATCGTGAACTGTAATATAGGAAATCGTATACACATTGTTTATGGCAGACTGATTAGTCTTTTTATTCAGTTACTGTGATTAGGACTAATAATAATAAAACGAATTATTCACTCGTTTTCACGGAAGTGCTATTCTGGGGGCGCAAATTTCACGTCTTTTAATTTAATCCCGAAAATTTAATCAGTGCAATTATTTTTTTGTGTTTCGTCTAGCTTAAAATCGAACAGCGGCAGCAGCAGCAGGAGCAGCAGCAGCAGCAGAGGATGTTAGGTGCTTTTTGTGGTACATATTGCCTTACGAACGGATCTCAAACATCGTCAACGGCAACATCAGAAGCAGCAGCAACAACAATAATAACGAAAAAGTCGTAGCTCAAAAGTACTGTGAATGTTTGCAATGAAATGAAAAGATAATAATCGAAGCGTGTATACTGTGCTCACGAGCTTCCGTACGCGCACTGATTCATCTGCTGAATTGATTTTTAGTGTATTGCATATATCCAAAATTAAATTAAAGTAAAGCACAATGACAAAATACACACAACACGTACGCGTATCCGTAGCACACAATTGTATTTCCCTTGGTATTGTTGTTATTGTGACGCTGTGTGCGCGCTACCACAAACATTATGAAAATCACAAACAAATCCGAACAAATGGAAGGACGGCTCGATAATAAAAGCGATGAAAGTGCGAGAGTCAAACGATTCTCTCACTTCAATATGTTGATCGTTGGCGTTATTGTTCGGTTGTGTCACTGGTTCCGTATGGCCGTTTTCCTTTAGCCCGCTCTTTCTCTTGCTCTTTAGTCTCTTCGTGGTTATTGTTTTCGTAGCGCGCGCGACGCTTCGATTCGAAAAACCATCGCCATGATCAACCTGCTGCATGAGCGCAAAATACAACTACACGAGACGAAACGATACAATCACAACCCACTCACATGCAGAGAGACACCATCCAAACGCGACAGCACGCACACTCAAATGATAATATTATAAACGCGATATAGAGACGAATTTTCTGTGTTCTGGGGCGCCAAAAAATGAAGCACATCGTTTGCTGCTGCTAATGTTAACGTACAATCGTCCGCTTTTATTTCCACATATCTCTCTTATCCGGAGAGCGAGAGAAAGAGACTCTTGGTTGATGCATGCATGTGTTGTCTCCGGCGTTGCCATCCACTGTGTGCGCGCCATGCACAGCACAGGCACACCATATATTCAATTCGCATTCATTGTGTGTGCGTATCGAAATATCGTTCCGTTTGTGTGCTTTGTATTCGATTTTTAAGTTGTTGATTGGATAAATGTTTATGCTGTGTTATGGCCGTTTTGATAATACCAAATGGGCTGGGCTTCGTTTGGTAAGCGTAGACAATACGCTTTGTGGATGTGATATTACTACGAGATAATGTTGCTTTTATTGGTGATGGGCAACAACAACAGTAGCTACTGCTGCTGCTACTACTACTACAAATGCTGTGCGTGCCCGTATGAAGCTATCAAATACAACGACGAAACGCTACGGTTACATTCGATTGGGCTTTGGCTCGATATTGTCTTCTGAAAGGTAAAATGAACCGAGACAACATCTTTGAAACAAAATATTAAAATAATACTACCGTCGAACACAACCGTAGCATTCTGTGCGCTCTTTGACGTTTGTTACATTATTCTTCAACGAAACATCATTTTAGTCCAGATTCATCACACTGCATATGGTGCTCAGTTTTGCAGAGCCACAAATATATTTCCTGAACGTCTATTTATTCTGATTTGCCGAGAAAACAATATTGCGCGAATTTATGAGCTTTGCAACCATTCTGGTTCTCTCTTTTGAAACAAATTAATGCTGAGAGTAGGAACTGGAAAAATGATTAAATCCTTGCGCTCGAGAAAATCCAAGTGTAATGACGAAACGTTCATACAACGAATTCAAGTTTCAATTTTGATGTTGATAAACGTTATTGGTGCATTTGTTTGGCATTCGTTCACAGATTACCATTTCATACAAACTGATTTCAAATGAAAATCGAATTAAGCGCACAATACCATAACCAATGAATAGCAAAAGAAGAAACAATAAAGAAAAAAAAATGGTCTGATTGGAAAGGAAAAATGGCAATAAAATTTCTAGTACACAACAACAAAACCAATTTTTAATAACAATGACATCTTATTATTTCATTTGACATCTTCTATTTTTATTCCATTGAAATTGTTTTTATTTTTTCATATCAAAAATCGTTAAAATCCACTGCTCCATTTCGATTGGTAAGCATAGACAATACGCCAATGATCCAATATGGATGGAATGCAACAAACCACAAATAAAAACAACTTATTTGTTAATTGTATGCATGCATGCATCAGAGAGAGAAAAATCAGGAAAATTCATGGCTGCCAAAAAAACGAGCAAAATTCATACGTATCCTTCAGAATGAAATGAATATAGAGCAACAACAAGGAATTTTGATAGCCGGTGCATGTAGAATTTTGGCATCTTTTTCAAATTTAATGACAACTGTACTTTTCAAGCTTCGACGTTCATGTTCAATCATGCGATTGTCTTACGTGGTATTACGTCATTGGTAACTACATTGAACCCAGTCGCAAATTTTTGAGACTCATATTTTATTAACTGCTTTCTTATTCCCTGGTATGTAGTATGTAAGTGTATAAACAACATAAGCCGAACATAAAATAATATATTTGAAAGAGGTGAAATTAATAACAGGTATATACATTTTTTTTCTCGTTGAAAAGGAAAGTATGGCCGATAATCATTTGAAGCATCAGCTAAGCCTGCCAAAAAAATCAATAAGCTGATGCTTTCATTTGGAAGTTGGTCGTCATGACAATCGAATTCCGAAGTCTCTAAAAAATTGGCTTCAGAGTTCGGGGAATACATTGATTCCAGTCGTTGTTTGTTGTATGCTTTTGTCAGTTATCAACAACGGCAGTCAACGCACATCGAAACAGTGAAAAATGATTTGTTTTCTCGATAAGGTGACATTCAGCGCACGCTTTCATTTCATTTCATTAGGCCATTGAATTTGAATTATGCGCTTCGAATGCTATGCGGAAAATGTTCGGATCATATAAAAAAAAAACAAAATTTCTCCTTTATTACAAAGGTTGCGATGGCAACCACTCGAAGGCGGCATTTGTTTTACGAGATTTTCCTCAATATTATTAATAATAATTATTATTATTTCGAAAAGATGACAAGAGATGAGATAGACCTATCAAATTGTATTTGTTAGAAAACCCTTATATACATACCATGCAACGGCTCATCACACGCCATGATAGCGTTGTTTTCAGTGTAAATCGCAACGAAGAGATCTTCCAGTCGCATCAATTATGAACATTAAAAGTTGGTAGCTCCACTGTAAGCTGTTGTCGAAAATTTTTGACTGATTACATCTTCAAATCATCCATCATTTCCAACATTTAAATGAAGCGAATGTGAAACAATAAATGTTTGCCGCAAAGCTAAAATAGCTGTACTTCACTTCAATGCCGAGCATGCCATGGTGTGAAAGAATAGAAGGAAAAATTATACGGGGTTTTTAACGAGGCCGACTATTGGTTATGTCATACGTTTTAAGAGGCTTGACGAATTCTGATGCATTTGCAAACTGTCGAGCATGTTTATTGAAAAACATTTGCACGACGACTGTGCGCCGATGTTTCTGCGCTTGAACATATGATACAGCACAGTATCGAAACAGATGTACGCCTGGAACTGCCAAGTGATGGATGAAAGCTATGATTTCTTTAACTGCACTGTGGGCGCAGCTTTAAGACGAGCCGTTGCTTTCACAGAATAACTCCAAATCAGTCGCTGAACATCTTGAATTTGATATGACTATACCTTATTAATTATGCAACATGCTTTCTATGAACAAAATCCAAATTGCACATATTTAAAACACCCACTCACCGTCTGTAAATCCTTCCAGAACAATATCAGCAAAAATGTTATATCCCCTTTTCTTAGCTTCCAAAAACATTGGTACACATTTAAATATTTTCCATTCTAATTTTTTCACCAGTCTTTCAAAGCGCTTGTTAGCAACGTTCTGCGCGTAAATATCTGAAAAGAGATGAAATACTTCCCATACGTGACATAGGTTCGAAATGGTTTCACATAAAGGCTATTTCAATGCTACTACATTCATTTGAATCGGTGAGAATTATCTTGACCCACCTAATTTTTTACTATTTTTCGATTTTCGGCTGTACTTCGGAGCGTGGCTCGATGCGGCTGTAGTCACATTGGTCCATATGGAAGAATTTACACATGGCAAAAATCTCGGATTTCCGAGTGGAATTCGGCAAAAATAATGCGTCCATCGCTCGCAAATCATTTTTTGCGGTTTTATTTTATGAAAAATTCGGGGGTCAAGATAATTCTTACTGATTCATTTCATCTGAATGGAACAAAATCAAGCATTTAGTATTCAGTGTACAACAATTTTTTACACTAGATTTGTGCGTAGATTTTGCATAATCCATATAGCATTTTCCCTTATCAACCGGATATATGAAAAATGATAGACATATTTTGATAATAAACGCAATTGAATATATTATTAAAACTCATCAAACACTTAAAGATTGTTCACTTATTTTACGTTCTATTCCCTTTAGTAATTGAATATTGTATTTTTACGTTGTTTGAACATGAATGGCAATTAAAATTGACCTCTTTCCGGTCACCGCTAACTTCATTATATCAAATGGTTGTTTTTCAATATTGAATATTCTATCAATGAATTTGTTGTCTTCAGTTGAATAAATTATTTGAGGATAATATCCGCATATGTTCTCATTTCATACAAACATGAACTAAAAATGAATCGATGTTGATGCAGCTAACTCTATCTTTGAACTGAACAAACGATTTAGCTGGCAAAAGTTATTAAAAACGACATACAGAAGATGGCACACGCTCCAAAAATAAGTTCCAGATGTGGAAGAATGGTTTCGAACATATAGATGACCTGCTGTATGAAAGAACTTTTGCATTGAACAAGTTTCAGGCTGTTGACATTTTTCCAATTATGAAGATACTTTTTGCTAGAGCTTTATTGTATTTACGCCATCTATTGGTAGTATTACCAATTTGGTACGTTTTCCGATGAGATTGTGCTTGAAATCTTCAATGACTGAGTGTATCTATTTGCTCTCATTCGCAGAACGACGATCAAACAAAAAAAAACAAAAATTGCGATCGATCTCATAGCACAATCGTTTATTTGTTAACCCTTTAATGCGCATTTTTTTTTTTTCATTTTTGAATGATTTTGGTATATGGTATGTGCCACGATAAATAGAGGAAAACCTCATTAGATTAGATGCATATGTATTTATCGAGAAATTCGAATAAAGTCAAAAGCATCAAATCGCTGTAACAACCTGAAAAAATTAAATTTCATAAAACTTATGATACGGAAGTTATATAGCAGAGATCTCATTTTGTATACGCCTATATATCGAGATATTAGTAGCTCCAATTTTTAGGCGATAGCTATGCATATTTTTGAAAGCAGCTACCAAACGAATACACAAACAAAGACACAACAACGGAGAAAACATAAGCAAGAGAGATGGAGATTTTCGTTTTATTTAATTACCGTTATTTGTCAACAAGTCTGTCTATATTAACGCATTGCCACTGTCAGTGTTGTCGGAAAGAAGAAATAATTTATCTAGATAAAGATAAGATAATTCAACTATTTTTCAAAATTTATCTAGATAAAGATAAGATATTATCTTATCTAAATGAAAAAAGATAAGATATTATCTTATCTATTATGAGTTTTTAGATAAGAAAAAAAGATA